TTTTTTTCCATTTTGAGAAATTTAATGAAATTTAATTTAATGAAATTTAGCCTTAAAATATTTATTAAAATATTTTTTATTATAATGCACGATTTTATATGATTTAGAAAATCACGTTATTATTTTATTATAGATTATTATTTTTGATAACTATAACAAATAATAATAAAAAAAATTAAGTTCAGGTTATTATTATTTATTAGTATTATTAATTATTATTGTTTTTCTAACAGCTTTCACCATTACTGGTTAGGCTGGCTCCAGCGGCTATAAGGTTAAGACGGTGACAAGAATAAGTCTACCAGTAGCTAATAATGAATTAAGGGTTTTATTAAGAATCCCCTCGTATTTTATCCAGTAGTAATTCTCTAGCTATGCGATCTCGACATCTTGTAATCAGTGCAAAATCAGTTCAGCCAGCCAAAACCAGAAATAACTGATACTATTTAGAGGGACTTTATTTCCAAAACATCATTAAAGCTCACTCTATTGATAATATCAGTAAAGAAGATTAGTTAATAGTTATTTAATTCATAATTTATTTGCTCCTTTATCATTACATAGTATACTGTAAAAATATTGATGATCTTTATAAAACTGAGCTATAAAATGGCGAAGCATTAAATGGCATGGCATTTCATCGAATAGCATGGCATTGCATGGCATTCCATTGATAAAATGGTATGGCATATTATGAACAATTAATTATTCATAATAAATTTTCCTTTTCTATGCAATTTTTTCGATTATTTATTCACCAAATTCTTTTTTTTCATTCTTTTTCACTTGACTAAATCCGATTTCAATAACTGAGAAATCAGTTCATATATATACATACATATATATGCACGCACATAACCGAAACATGCATGTACACATGCTACACATGCACATATTCAGTTCATATTTATTATTAAATATATCATATATTATCAATTAATTTTATTATGGTGATGATAATAAATTAAAAATAATCTATAGAAATGATGATAAAAAATTAAAAAATAGAAAAAAAATCAATTTATTTTTCGGATATTTATACATATATGTCAAAATTTATCAAAATATTTGTCAAAATTATCAAATTATATATGTATATATCAAAATTCGATATACTTTTTTTTTATTTTCTTAATTAAATTTAATGAAGGGAAATTTAAATTGTCAAAATTTTGCAAATATTAAATGAGGTAATCCACAAATGAAGAATTCCTTATGGCTTAATGTAAAATTAAGGTGCAAACAGAAATTATTGAAACCCCGTATAATTTTTTTTTGGCCTTCGTGAAAATTTCACTAAAAATTTAGCATTTCGCATTCGCCTATAAAACAAAAAAAAGAAACAATGTTCCCGGCATGATTATTTAATCTTTTTATCATCTATAGATTTACAAATAATCGCTAAAATATTTCCTATTTATCTAATATTTATTCCTAAAAGTTGTGCCCCTAACTGGTTTTTACCTTACAATATTCCCTACTTGTTTATTTTTAATGAAACCATATTGTTGATCGACGATTGCGATATATTTATTCTTCAATTTGGCGAATGTATAAATAGATTGAAATAAAAGAACTAAACTTATTTGTCTTTTATTTCGTATAATAAAATTTTAAGAAAGTTTACTGATTTTAATTCTTACAATTATTTGATTAATTGTTTAATTAATTGAATAATAACCATAAATAATATTAATAAATATAATAATAATAAATAGTGGCAGCAAATAGTAAAAGTAATAATGTAATAATAATAATGACAATAATAATAATAACAAATATAATAATATAATGACAACGATAATAATATTAAATATAAATATAATAATGATAATGATGGTAAATATAATGATAATAGTAAGAAATATAATGGTGAAAAATAATAATAGTAAAGTAATAATGATAATAGTGATAATGATAATGACTACAATAACGATAATAGTGATAATGATAATGATAGCAATAATAACAATAATAGTGGTAATAATAAATATAATGATAAAAATGCTAAACACAATAATATATAATGCAATAATAATAAAAAATAGTAATATTAATTAATAATAATTAATAATAATAATAATTAATAATAATTAAATAATAAATAAATAGCAATAATAATTAATATTAGGGAAATTTTAAACTTAAACTATTAAACTATTAAACTTACTATTAAACTTTAATAGTAATTAACAATAATAATAATAAGTTGCCAATATATTGTTATAAATTTTTCTATAATTTTATATTCTAAATTCTTCCATGTTTTTATTATCGTTTATAATAAATTTATGCCTTAACTATGCTAATAAATACAATTTTGCATGATTTTGAATAGATAGATTTTGTATGACTATAAATCTGACTATAATTTAATAAGACTAAAGCCATATCTCCAAAGTTGAATATTTTTTCAAATAATCTATGAAAAATTGGCATTTGCCTTGTTTGTCATTTATCATTTTGCTTATCATCTGAGCCCTTTATAAGGTAATCCTTAAATTTTCTCTAGTTGTCACTCAATTAGTAAAATAAAAATTATCGTTCATTTAAGTAATAAACAGGAAATATTAGAGAAATTTTCACCAACTCTGGTTAGATTCGTTGTGACGACATGTCGGATCAGATATTTTATTAGTGAATTAATTATTTGGCATTCCGAGTGACGCCTGCGACCCTGCGACTCACCTGTATTTCAAGGGACTCTTTGGCATATCGCTCAATGCGACAAGCCAGTGGAGCGAGTTTAACCGATAATGGTGAGGACTCTTTAAAAAAAATTTACCATTAGAAGTACGGATGAGTCGAGAACATCGTTAAGAATTTTGAAAAAACAAGTTCATCCTTATTGGGAATAGAACCCCAATGTTGGCGCTTCGAAATGAGAGCAACAATTCGCTGAGCCATTTCACTCACATAAATATGAAAGTGCAAGAGAAAAAAATTAAATTAAATAAAATTGAATTTTTTTTAATAAATTTTTTGAAACTTTTTTTGCAAAATATTTCTAAAATAAAATTTCTATTTTTTTCATTTTTTTTAAATTTAAAAATTTTGAAATATTCAAAATTTAAATAATTTTTTTTTAAAAATTATTTTAATTTAAATTATAAAAAATATTTTTAAAAAAAAAATCAAAATTTTTCTTAATATTTTAAATATTTTATATAGTAATGAAATAACTTTGATTAATAAGTAATAAATTTTTTTTGAATATTTTTAATTCATCTTTATTTGTTTTTGATTGGTCGGTTAGTGATAATGATAACGATAATATTGGCGATAAATAATGATAATTTTTTCCGTATTTACCGAAATTTTAATTTCATTAGAAATATAATTGTCAAATATTGCAAATTAATTGGTATGATAAGTCTATCTGATATATTTGTGTATGTGTGCCTAACAACTCTATTATTTGATATGTATGTGTATGTGTGCCAAATCCACTAGTTCTAATGAATATGTCCATGTGCTTTATCCATTTGATAATTGTGTTGCATCACAATTGCATCATTTGATAATTATATGACTTATCGACTGATAAGTTTACAATCTGATATATGTGCCAAATCCACAAATACCATCTAGTAAAAGTGTACTATATAAATTTAATTTGCACCATTTAATAATTGTTTGACTTATCGACTGATAAGTGCATCGTTTGATAAACATGTGTAGAGTGTGTGTGTGTGTGTGTGTGTTAAATCCACAAGTACCAATAATATGAATCATTTTTATCGATAAAATTTTAAGCGCGTGCGTTTCGAGCGTACGCGTTCACATATAAGCATTTTCATTAACTTTATTGAAGAATTTTTCTTTCCTTCGCTTTCTAAATTATCATCGTCGGTTAGGTTTTATAAACAATTATCGATTGATTTTCGACAGTATTTCGCGTTATTTTTATTTTTATAAATACCATTTTTTTTAAAAAATTTCTTTTATAATAATTTCTCATCGTTTTTTTATTTTTTATTTTTTGCAGTTCTTTTTAGTAATTTTTCATAGTTTTTAATAATTTCAATTATTTATCAATTTATCAATGAATCATCAATATGAATAATAACGGTGATAATAATGATAACGGTGATAATAATACTGATAATTTTGGCAATATGAGCAATCAATCAATCAATGATAGTTATGACATAATAATAGTAACAATAATAATAATAAATAATTTTAATAATTTTATAAAATTGGAAAATGAATTGATTTCTACGAAATGGTGCTTCCATTTGGTCTTCTTTTATTATTCGGAAAAAAATTTTTTTTAGTCTTAAAATTAATTAAATTAAAAATTGGCAGCAAAAAATTGAATAGGAGGCCGGGAAAGAGCAGCGGCCATATAATCGAAAGGGCCGTGAAAACAGCGGCTGCATAATTGCGATGAGAGGCCGTGTGAATAGTAAGAAGTACCATGAAAAGAATAGAATTGAATGGCCTTATTTTTCGAAATTCTTGAAATATTAGATTATAAAATTAATTAAGAAATTTAATCATTTAATAGTCGCTTTTTTTTCACTATTTCACCAATAAGGTTCGTTCCGCTGACTTTCCGTCACGGAGCGCGCACCAGAGGGGATTTCGCCAGCGAGTCGTTTAACGATAGAATCGCTAGCATTGTTTGGTTTTTAACAAAAACTTTCATTTTATCCCCTCTGGAAATAAAACATTGGTGCCTCAAAAGTTCAACTAATTTAAGACGATTTTTTTTCCGATTTTTTTTTGGGTTTTCATTGTGAAAAAATGATTTTTTTAAATGGTATGAATAATTTAATATAGAAAATGTGAATAAAAAAAATAAAATTACTTAGTGAATCCGATAAAATTTAATCAATTTATCTAAATTTTAATTAATTAATTAATTAATGATAAAGGGAGAACAGTAAAGATTTTTTTGATTTTTCTTTAGAAAGTGATAAAGCGGTAAAGAGTGATAGGGTAATAATTGGTGATAAAGTGATAAAAAGTGATAATTTAATAAATTTTTTAGATTAAGTTTGTGAAATAAGGAAATTTATTGGATAATAAATCAATGCAAGGAATAATAAAAGGAAAAGAATGTCCTCATCCTCATCCTCATCATCATCATCGTCAGCAGCAGCAGCAGCAGCAACAGCAGCAGCAGCAGCGTCGTCACCATTGTCACCGGCAGTTACATCGACAACGATATTTCGATATTTTAAGCGAACAATAACTATTTTAGCTGGTGCTGCGTTTATTAGTTTTACATTTAATTGGTTATTAAAAAAACGACGAATCATGAAAGCGTTACAAAAGTTAGTGAATTTATATATTTATTATTTTTTAATATTAATTAATTAATTTTTTAATATTAATTAACTAAAAAAATTGTTTTAAAAATTAAAATTTCAGTATTTTAACTAAATTCTATTCTTTTCTTTTTTGAATTTTATAAAAAGTTTTTGTTATTGTTTTGATTGATTGGAAAATTTCGCAAATTTTTCTGGTATTTTTTTGATATCATTTAAATAAATTTCTACATTTAAAAAATTCATTAGCAATTAATGAATAATTAAATTTCATGATTTTGTTTGTTTATATTTTATTACATATTTATTCACTAATTAAAATTCTTTTTTCTGAAATTTTTTCTTGGTTTTTTTTTTTCATTATATGAAAATATATTCAATAAAAAATTATATGGTATAGCTTTGTGCGCCATCCCTAGCTATCTTTAAAAAAAAATTGTATAATATCATTTATGATATTTATCATTTTAAAAAGTTCATATCATGCAGGAAGTGTGAAATCTCGATTATATATAATTCGAATTGTACTATATTATATTATTTCGCAATTCCTCTTTATTTCCTCTTTAAATTGTTATTTTTTATCATATCTTTTTTTTATCATTAATTATTATTATTTATTTTAACTGTTGTTATTAATATTATTAATAACTAGTATTAATAAGTAATATTAACAAGCACATGGCGTTTGTCGCCCTGCTTTGCTGATTTTCAACAAATGATAAATGATAATGATTTTTTTAAGATTCCTCACCATTGCTGGTTAAAATCGCTCTACTTGCTTGTCGCATTAGCCAGGGAGTCCTTTGGTGATAGAAATACACCAGTATCACCCCGATTTTTGTACATCTTTACTCTTGCGGTCCTCAGCATTGGTGCTTCCAGTTGAGCAACACTGAGCCTACTGAGCCATTCTATCCCCAAAAAAAATATATATATCTATATTAATATAATACATATAATATTATATATAATATGTGTAATCGAAAAAAAAGCAAGGACTATAATATCGTTAAATCTAATTTTATAAAATGAAAGAGAAAAAAAAATAAAAATAAAAGTTTCAAAATTTGTTTCTTATAAAAAAATTGATAAAAGAAATTATTTTAGAGATAACGAATGCATGAATGAAACAAAAAAAAATGATTCTTCGTTAAGAAAAATGCATGAAAAGAAATCAAAGAAACGAAATCAATTTGATGTTGAATGTCAAAATACGAATGAGGTTTCTTTCTCTTTTTTTTTTTTTAATTTATTTATTTAAGCAAAAACAAGGCAGAAGGATTACTGAGCCGAGCGTTTGAATTTTCTTTTAACTCATAATACACTATACGAAAACAATAGTTCGATAGTTAGTGCTAACGGTTCGAGTTAGAGTACGGGTAAAATTTAAGAGAAACAATATATGCATCAAATTATTACATGTCGCGATATCTTTTATTTCGACCGTTATTAATCTTTAGCCATTATGGAGGTTTTCAGTTAATTAATACCATCAAATCTGCACTTTTTCTTTTCTTTTCCTATACAACAATGGCGCACTCGTAAAGGCTCACAAAATAACTTATTCTAGTAGTTAATAGTACGAATTAAAAGTCTTTAACTTTTTAGTTTAGCTTAGTTTTAGTTATTTCAGGTCATTAAATTTAGCAAATTCAGACTGAGATTATAGCACTTGTTAGCAATTCATTTTAACGTAATTGTGTGAAATTTATATTTTAATATATTTTTTCAAGTGTTGAAAATTTCAATATGAATTATTTAAAAAGGAAAGAATAGTATTTTTCCTTATACAGTTTATGGTACAAATAAGGTTAAAACTTATCTTCTTATAGTTTATTCCTTATAGTCCTTCAATAAGTTTGTTTTATTTGTGATATTTCCGTTGATATTAGGTTGTGTGGTACTCTAAGAAAAGAGGAATAAATGCTTTGTAGATTTCTATAAGGAAGATTTCTATTTTAAATAAATATAAATCTATTTTAATTATAAATATAAATCTATTTTAAATTTATTTTAAATATAATATAATAAATATTACATTGCATAATATTTAATATTTAATATTTCTATAATATCAATTATAATATCAATGTTTATTTCAATATTTGTTTATTCATAAGTTTATTTTTTTAAAGATTTATTTAAGATTTTAGATTTTTGTCGTGAAATAATTTTTTTGAAAAAAACAATTCTTTTCTGTTTTTTAAATAATTTAAATTAAATTAAGATTTTGGTTTCGAAAAGTTAATTTCCATTTCCATTATTAAACTTTATTGAATTGTTTTACACTAAGTGTTAAGCGAAAAATTTCATGTTTATTCAGTTTTTTATTAGATATATTTTTTAATAAAAAATGAAAATCAAGGATAAAATTTAGTTCATTTCTCCGAATTTTTTTTCACTCTTTTAATAGTCTATATTTTCATTACTCAGTCATTTTTCAATAAATAATAAATAAAATAAAAATTCGAAAAAAGAAAATAAATAAATAGAAAAGAAATCGCCATAGGGGAATATTTTTTTGTTTTGGTGTATTTATTGTTTTTGAAAGGTTTTTCGACGATTGTAAGTATTTATAATTTAAAATAAATTAATTTGCATTTAATGGAAATAATGATTTAATTAAAAAAAGGAATGTTAAATTAAATTTTTTATTATATTTGTGTTATATATTGTATTTGTAATATTTATTTTTTTATACTTATGTTTATTTTTTTCTTATTATTTTATCATTATTATTATTTAATACTGTATTTTTATACTAATTTTTAGTACTTTTTATTATTTTTTAATATGATTGTGATTTTAATATGATTGTATCATAATTTCATTTTTCATATGGTAAAAATTATTATTAATAAAAAAGAAAGAAATTTAAATGAATAATGCTTAAGGAATAAAATGGAGTTATGGTTGAATTATGTCGTATGTCGCATATTAATGGTGTATTTTGCTATAAACATGTAAAAATTCTTAGGTGAATGGTGTTGATTGTACACCTGCAAATGAAGCAGCTGAAATTGCTAATGCCGTACAGCGAAACGATTTTCCCACCGACGAACTATACGCATTTGCTGTTATGAATAAATCGCTTGTTAGTATATTTCTTTCTTTTTTTTCTTGGTACTTTTATATGTCTGAAATTATAATTCTTTAATAAAAAGATTAAAAAAGAATTATGGTCCGAATCCGAAACATTTTTTTTCTGAAAACTAAGATGATGATAAGATGAAGATGATTTGTTGAAAATTAAGATGATTAATATGTTTTTTATTTTTTAAGCTCTTATTTTTACCATTATTATATTTTTTAAAAGGTTTTTTGAAGTGAGGATTAATGTTTAATAATTTCTAGTTATAATTAACAATTATCGTTACTGATGATAACGATAATGTTAACGATGACAATGATAAGATATGGAATTATTTAGCAAATGTAAAAAACTTTATTTATTTGTTCAGTTTGCCATAATATTCCCTTTTTTTGGTTTGAAAGTTTATTGAATTAATAGTTTAATTTGTAAATATTTATTATATATATATATATATATATACATTGCAACAACAATGTACGGAAACCGGTGATGTCGATGGTGATGATGATGATGATGAATGATGATAGTTGTAGGAGAGTGTGGAGGCTTTTTATTGAATATTTTGTTCTTTGTTATTTAGATATTTAATTTTATACAAGTATATATATTTTATAATAATAAATATTCTAATTTATTTATTTTAATATAATATTAAGATGATTAATATGTTTAAAATATAATATTAAAACAGTATATAATAATATTTAGTAGGCATTTAATAGTTTTAAAAAGTTTATCAGAGAAAATGTGATTAAATTAGCAATTTTTTTTCTTCGACAAAGATTCAATTAGATCGATTTGATTTGTTAAATCTGAGCATATTATTGAAAATGAAATTTTTATGGTACTTAATAATTCTGGTTGTCTAGCAAAAGGGTTTCGCTAAAATAGTGAAACATCGCTAGCTAGCCAAATTAAAAATACCACTAGAAGAACAAGAAGAGAACTACAAATATTTTTATTTTCTTCAGTCGAAAATTGTAGAAAAATAAAAATTGTAGTTCAATTAAATCGCTCAATTTATTCTCGTTTAAGTGCAATTCTGTTTTCTTTTCTTTTTTGTAAAATTATTAAATTTTATTTTCCTTTTTTTTTCAAAGAATAAAAAAAATTCGCGTTAAATTGATCTTTAAATCTCAATTAAATGAATCTTTATTTTAATTGTAAGAATAATTCAAAAGAATTTAAAACCAAAAGAATTTAATAATTGGAAGAAAGAAAAAAAAATCTAACGATTGCATTTTTCTTATCATTTATCTTTTCTAATCATTGATCACCTCACTTTTTATCTTATCATTTCTTTTCAATCTAGTATATTTGCAAATAGTTAAATATTTTAAGTATATTTGTGCTTGTTTTTTTTTGTCGGCTTTTAGTATAAATTTTTTTAAATATATTTTTCTTTGTTAGTATAAATTTTATTTTTATAATTTCGGTGTGTAAACGAGAGAAAAAGAAAAGAGAGTGAGAAACCAGTTTTAAACGAATTAGAAACTAGTTTTATGAGCGCAAGATGAGTGCAAAAAAATCAGTTATTATTCTTAAAATTTAATATGATTATTTTTTATTTTTACTTATTTTTATTTATTTATTTCTTCATTTTTTTATTATTGTATTCACATATTAATTATATTTATTATATTTTTATTATTTATCAATTATTGTTATTATTATTACTATTATTATTCTTTCATTATTATTGTTTATTTAAATTAATTACAAAAGTAACTAATTTACGAACAAACTATTTTTTTTATTTATAAAAAATAAAATTATTGAAACAAATAAAAATAAAATTTATGCTAACAAAGAAAAATATCTTTAAAAAAATATAATAAATATAATATAATATAAATTTTATCGTATATTATATTATAATAATATAATATACGATAAAATTTATTATTGGCATTTAATTTTTTGATTTATTTAGTTCTTTTTCTCATTTTCATTTAGAAATAAAAGAAAAACGAAAAATTTTTTTTTTATATTAAAAATTTTTTATTTTTTTATTTAATTTAAATTATAAATTTTTTTTTTTTCAGATTGAAAGTGTTAATAATATAGAATCATTAAATTGGACAAATGAAATGGATAGATCGTTAATGAATAGAACAATAACGATGTATAACGATGAAAATATTATAAATACGGGTGATATTATGTCATCACCAGATCAGTTTTATAAATCAGTAAATAGTTCGAGCACCGCTGAAAGTGATGTAAGTCGTCGTTTATCGTCGTATTATTTCAATTTTTTTTTCTTTTTCCTTCATCAATTTCGAAATATTAGAAATAAATTTAGTTTATTTTCGTTTATTTCAAAATTAATTTAGCTTATCAACTTATCAGAGATCGTATTTGCTTAATAGCATATCGTTGGATGATGCTAACAATTCTTCTTCTTCCTTACAGCTTTCACCATTACTGGTTAGGCTCGCTTCGCTGGCTACAAGGATAAGACACCATCGCCATCGCAGTAATAGAAACTATCCCTTTTTCCATCGTCTAGGTCCATATACATCTGTACGTTCAAAATTATTTCCTGTCTGTATCAGTCCAGGTCTTGATTGGCCCACTTCGCTTTTGACGCCAACCATCACAGAGTTCGATAAATAACGATATTAACACCGATTTACCTATATTTCTATTCCCAAAGGATTCCCTGGCGATATTTGTCTAATCTGATAAGCTAGTGGAGCTCGTCTAACTAATAGTGAGTAGTATTAAAAAAAAATAGCATAGCGTAGAATTTAATTTTGAGACATAATTTCTTATTTATTATGTAGTATTTCGATATTAATTATTAGTTATTTTGAAGAGTTTTTGAAGAATATTAGTTAGTTTGAAGATTTTTCAATTGTCTTTATTAATTTGCTCTTGAATATAGAAAAATATGGATGAGATGGTGGTATTGCTTGCGCTGTTCAAGTTTTTACCTCTCTATCTAATTTCTATCGCCAGTTGATTGTTTGGTGGTGCGAAGATTTTAGTGCAGTAATCAGTGGAATTATTCAAACCAAAAATAATGGAGTATGAAAAAAAAAAAACCATAATTTTTAGAATTGGAATGATTAGACTTTTTGACTTTGTGAAATTCTAGTCAATATCTTTAGTTTTTTAGTCGATACTTTTCCTCGAATTAAGCTTTGAAGCTTTTTTAGATTTCTAAAATTTTAAACTTTTTAATTTAAATTTTCAATTAAAATTTTATCAAAGATCAAAATATTATTATTAGAAGCAATGTGCTAATAGCGGAAAATTGATCATTATATTAGTATGAACATATATGTGACCTTTATCTGACCTTGGCTATGTTAGTCTTATTTGCCTATAACGTAGCGGCTGGCTCTCGATTATTTTTCTAGTTAATTTTAATTTTAGTGACCTTTCTTTTCTTTTTTCTCTATTGTACATTTATTGGAATTATTAAACTTTTAATATTTAATGAGCTGCCTAAGTATTTAAATAGTATTTAGTAATAAGTAATAGTTTAAATAAATGCTCTTCACCAATTATTTTCTTCTTTTATATTTCTACAAATTACTATATAATTGTAAAATTGCAAATTCTATATGTTAGAAATGTAAAAAAATCTAAAATTGAAAAAAAAGAAAAAATTTTTGAATGAAACTAAATATGAATGAGTGAATGGAATAGTGATGATGATGTGTTTTGCGATTTCTCTATTATCATTAAATCAAAATTTTATCAATAAATCTAATTTTTTTTTTTTTTTTACTGAAAAAAAGAAACAAAGGTGTTCCCTTATTTCAACCACAAAAAAGTTCATTCATTTTTTTTCTTTTTTTATATTTTAAATTTTTAAATTTTGTTTCATAAATCTTATTTGTTATAAGCTAAAACTTATTTAAAATTATAAAAAACTTATTTGTTTAAAAATTATAAATTCTTATAAATAAATTATTTGTTTTTATAATTTATTTACATTTTCTCGTTTTCATCTTTTTTTAATTTATCAGAATTTTATCTAATCTCTTATCAGATATATATGCGTAATTGCACATACATATACATATAAATGCATAACATTGGCAGTTTAGACAAACATTTAACATTTAGACGGTTGTTGTAGTTTTAATATTATCATTTTGATCATTATCGTTGTAATTGTCGTCTTTGTCGCGCGCCATCTTCTTTAATTTATAAGGAAAAGGCGAAGTCACGTTAAGTTTAAAAAGGCAATTTAAAATAAAAACAAATTGAAATATTTTTTCTTCCTCCCCCCTCCTCGCCCTCCCTCTCTCTCCGTTCCCCCCCCCCCCCCCCTTCTCCTCCATTATTAAAACAAAATTCGAACAAATGATTTACAACATTGATAGTATTGATAACCGTGAAAAATATTTTTTATTGCATGATTAACAATAGAATTTAAAGGATTTTCAATCAAAATCTCATTTAATATTTTTACAATCCGTTAAAAAAATTTACAATCTGTCATTTCAATCGTCTAAAAGCAATTTAGCGATTTAATTTGTTTTGTCAATTTGTTTTTATAAAACAACTTTATTATGTTTATCAGATGTTTCAATATTGATAATACTGATAATATTGATTGATCTTTAACTAGTCGTCGGCTTAGCTATTTTTCCCCATCTTTTTCCCGAAATTTTAGTCTATTGTATTATTCCTCATCATTTTGCAAATTTTCATTAACCACAATCCTTGAAGAGCATTGGCACGTATATCAGACAACAAATACTACATGACACATTCCATCGATGGTTTTTTTTTTCAAAAATTCAAGTTTTATATCATCGCAAGCAAATGCCAACGAATTTGATTGATGATAAATGATGATGGTACGAATAATCAATCCACTAATAATGAATAGTGAAGGTCAAATGTCATATTAATATAGCCTAATATACCAAAAGATATGGACGCAAAAGCGACGCAATAAGCGTTATGGATATGATATATATGATTTTGACCGTCGGCTGCTATAAATAATTGCAACAAAAAAGGCCGCTAGCGATATTTTGAAAAATATCGATGAACGTTGGAAATTTAAACGACGATAATATAAATATAACATTTTAATTTGATAATTTAATAAAAAACCACGAAAAAATTAAAAGGATTAACTCTTCAAATCGAAGAACCTGTTGAAAAGCGATCGAAATTTGTGAGACGAAAGCGATGGTGAAAGCGGTGCATTTCTGAAAACTTTTAAGAAAGTGGTGCGATTTGCCGATATCAAATTTTAAGGAACGAAAATCAACCTGCAATAGAGATTTAAGGTTAAAAAATAAACGACGATTATTTTTACGTGATTTTAAATTTTAATAGAAACGTGGAAAGAACGTGGAAGCGTGAATAATCTTTTTACTATTATTACTAATATTTATTCTTATTATTTTATTGTGTATTATTATTTTCAATATTTATTATTAATATTGATTTAATATCATTTATTATTATTATTTTAATATTAATATTTTCATTATAATGTATTTTTCTTTTTTTTATTAACAATTATTTTTATTTCATTTTAATTTATTGTTTTCCTATTTTTCTTGGAATATTTCGAGGAAATTCTTTTTTTTAATTTTTCAAAAAAAAATTTTTTTTTTTAATAAAATATTTATAAGATTTGGATCTGTGAACTTTTATTTAAACAACTTATCTATCCTATCGCTTTCGTTTCGTTTCTACAATTCGATTCGTAAGATATGTGTAGGAATTGGAATATTGCTTCGGCTAGCGTTATGGATTGGATTTTTTTTCTCTTTGAGCAGGTAAAGTTAATTATTAAAAGTAAAGAAAAAAGCAGTGGTATTAGCGAAGTATTTTCTTTAGAAAGAGAGATAAGTACTTTCCAAACATTGAATACTATTTAATAAAAAGATGTATATGAAGATAGAATGGCTGAGTTGTTGCTCAATTCGGAGCGCCGATGCTAAAGTTCTATTCCCCGCAGGAGTAAACCTGCCAAAAATCCGAGATCGAACTCTTCTCTTTTGCTATCGCCAAGGGACTCCGTGGCATATTTGTCCAGTGCGACAAGCCAAAAGAGCGAGTTTAACCAGTAATAGTGAGGACTCTCAAAAGAAATATGGAGAAATATGTCTAATTGATGAATGATCGCTTAAGATGAAGTTGAGAAAGATTAATCTTTATCAGGGTCAGTTAGTGATAATAGAAATACAATAGATAATAGAAGTGATAATAGGTGGGTCACCAGCGTTATTCGGTCTTTTTAAAGACAAGACTCCTTTGCACCTATTATGAATGAACATTGAGTGGGGGTACATCGTAATAAGCATACCATCGTCCACATTATGAGCCATCGTTTTATAAATATTCTTTCTTTATTTTTTGCTTTTTTCTAGAAATTTTTTTTTATTTTTGCAATTTATTTTTTATAAAATTGCAAAAATTTTTGATTTTTAGAATTTTTCATTTTTTTTAATATTATAAAATAGATAATTTATTATCGAAGAGAATTTCTTTATTGCCACTATTTGCGATTTGTTTAATTGTTCTTTAAACTAGTTAATTTTACAAATATTTGATTTGATTGATTAATTGGTTTTACTTACGGAAACGGGTATTAAGAAAATGATGAATTTGATTTTAATTACCATTTATTATTAATATATTTGTTCTTCTTTTTAACATAAAACATATTAGTGGAACTATTAAAATTTCGAGAAATTAAAAAAATAAATTTTTCAAGAAATTTTTAAAATTTCTTAAAATTTTTGGAAATTGAAATTCAAAAAATAAAAATTCCTTAGATAGATAATTTTTTTCGGTAGTTTCATAACGAAATTCATCAAAAAATTCTGGATTTTTCAATTTTAATTTGAATAAATTGTCTAATCAAAAAATATAATTCAAGAATTCATTTTTTTAGATAAATTGTAACAATTTATTTTTGTAGAAATTCGATAAATTTTTCCAAAATTTCAATTCGATAAAATTTTTCCTGAAAAATAATTTAAAAATAAGTCTATTTATAAGAAAAATTGTTGGAAAAAAGGCCTTAAAATAAGTATAAATATAAATAAAATAAAATTAAGGACGTATTTTTCAGGTTTTAATTGCTTAAAATTACAAATGTTTTTTTTTACTGTTGAAAGTAATTTACAATATGTTTACGATAATATTTGCACTATATAATATATATTTTAAAATGAAATTTTATAGTCGTCGGATAGTGGACATGCGACAACGCAGCCCACACCAACGCCATATTTGAACGAACAATATCATTTTGAAATACCGCACAGTTTAGTTGGATTAGTTATTGGTAAACTTGGAAAAAATATTAAGGTATGTTGTTTATATTGAAATTTCATCACTGATCACCACACCAATTTTTATAATTAGACTGATTCTGCTGATTTATCGAGCTCAAATAAATTTTGTTAAGGAGTCGATCAGTTGATGATAAAAAGTGCAAATGAATCACACCAGAATCATTCCGAATTAGTTGATGTTAACTCTGTGTTTAGCGAGATAATTCCGTCCGTTTTCATTGCCATAATTTTTTTCTTCCTAAACGAATAGATTTGAAAGTTCTTATATTCTTCTGCCATTTTCATAGGAAATGTTATTTTGTTAAATGTTATTCATATTGTAAACTATAGAAATTTATTCATTTATAAATAACAATAATAATTTTTAAAAATTATTAAATTTTTGCTAGTTTTCAGCTTGTTAGTCAACGTGCCGGTGTCGATATTATAATTTATGCAGGTCATTATAATCCTAAAAGAGTTAGTTTCTCTAGTGATTCTTTTTTTTAATGAAATTTTTACGGAAAAGATTATTTTATTTTCTTTTTTTCCCTTATATTTACGTAATTTTTTGTTGATTATAGGGTCAAACTCATCAACTTTGCGTGATTACTGGTGAACGTGAAAAAATTAATAGAGCGCTAAATATGATTCGACGTCGATTTCCTTCAAAACGTTTCAAAGAATTGAATTTAACGTGCGTTTTCGATACAGATCGTATGTTAGGATATTTTCGATCAAAAGTTGACATTATGCATTTGAATCCGTATTTTACCGGTTATCGACAAGAAATACCTATACAAATGATGGCTGAACATCGAACTATTTTGAGAAGCGTAAGTTCATTTTTTTTTTTTTTTCAATTTAGTAACTGAATAGAAGAGAATTTTGTTTTAGAATGAACTAGAAGTACTCGAGCCTTGTCCAGTTTTTGTTTCATCAGTATTAGATCCAGGTCATTTCTTTTTGCAAAGAATGGGTCCATGCTTCTTGAAACTGCCGGAATTCGAACAACAACTCAAAGAGATTTATGATGACGTTTCACAGCGTGAAACATTTATCGCACCTGTTTCTCGTCAGTTTTAGTTTCTTTATATTTTTTTTTGTTCTTCTAGTAATTTAAACTCCTAAAATTTTCCATTTTTATTTTTTTTACATTTATTCTCTCGATAATAATAGAAATTATAAATAATAAATAACCAAAGAAAAAAAGTGTTGAATAAATAGCAAATATTAAATAAATATGAGAGTTGTTTTAGATGGTACATTATGTGTGGCTCCTGTTAAAGGTATGCCGGGTTGGTTTCGAGCAGTCGTTCTTGCCTATTTCGATGAAGACGAACACGTCTTGATAAGCTATATCGATCATGGCGGTTATTCTAGAATTCATTATAAGAACATTTATAAATTAAAGTTAGATTTTTCGTTTATTGTTTCATGTTTTATTTTTTCCATTTTTTTCCTTATTTTTATAAAATTCACTTTTGGTTCTCACTTTTTCACTTCACTTTTTTTTATAAAAGGATTATGTAATATATATTTCTCTTTTTTTTAAGAGCTGGACTGGAGAATTTTGAAGCAGTAGCAGTAGAATGTTGTTTGCCGAGCATTGAGCCAGTAGATGGTAAGCGAAGTTCCACTGTTTTCTTTTCTCGATTCCCAGTAATTTATTCGCAGATTTTTTTTGATATATTCAAAAAATAATCTATTCTTAATTATTTTTTTCCTTTTTTTGAAGGATCAATGTTGTGGAGTCTTGAGGCAATTGAAAGGATAAAATCGTTAATATTATCTAAAATAGCCCTTGCGCGTTGGATTGGCTATCGGAATAAACGTTGTGCTGTTGATTTATGTATATCAGACGCGTGTAATCAAGTATGCTATTTTTTCAGCCTTTTGAAGCATCTAAAATCATATGCGCTTATATTCATTTTTTTGATCAGACCACTTTTTTTGCCGTTACTTCTTGCCGAATCTAATTCTATTCATCTATTTCCAGTTAATTCGACTTGAATCGACTCTAATAAGCAGTGGTCTAGCTAAACTTGCTGATGCGTCTACAATGCCCGTTCGCTTATTTGGTAAGCTTGAAAAAAGTGCAAAAAAATTGGACGATAAAAAAGAATGGGAAGACGAAGAAGAGAATTAAAGTTTATTCAAATTGTATGATATTATTTATTATATTTTTTAAGATCTGCAGTCCTTTCTGACATTTTTTTAGTTCTTTTTTTTTAAATTTGCACAATATTTAAGTAAAATACATTAATTAATTGATAAATATTGATATATTGTATCGATCAACATCGGTGAACTGATCTCATTCTTATTTTTACATGTGAGTGTTATCATTTGAGATATCAGTCGAATGAAATTTGAAATTTATCACAACGTACTAAGTTTATTTTAAATTTTTCAATGTCAAAATTTATTTATTCAGTTTTAACGATAAGTCATATTGTTTTCCATAAAATTTTTATGGAAAGACTTAATTTAGTAGTTGTTGATAAATGTTATGTGTTGATAAAAGATTGTCGAAAGGCTATTTAAGAAGCTTTTTCAGAGAAGGAAAAATTGGATATGTTATAAAATTTTATTCGAATTGATTATATATTTAGCCATTTCATCGTTCAGTTCATTTTTCTTTTTTTTACTTTTATAGATTCTGTTTTCTAAGATAGAAACATAAAATAAACCCTATGTTTATTTGAGGGATTCTTTCAAGCTTGTATTATTAATATTAATATTGTTAATGCCAATATTATTTTTATTATTGTTTAGTGTCAGTATGATTTGACTTTTGAGATAATTTTCGTTCATGAAATATTTG